CAGAGAAATTGTCAGAAAAAATGTGTAAAGTTCTAATAATTTTTATGTTTCAGGAATCAAAGTGGCGTTTCTTCAAGAGGAAAATGAAACAAAACACTAATTTTGAAAACCCAATATATGCAGAGGTATTGTTTAATATTGAATAATTCTATTTTTCAGATAACATGTTGCTAGACTTTGTTCTTGCTCTCATAGAATAAAGATTATGGGTAGATTCTGCTGCTATGTGAGACAGCACAGAAATTCCAGTCCAGGTTAGGGTAGGACTAAAGTAATTGTGAGAAAAGTTACTAAGCCTCCTGCAAAATGAGATGTTGAGCAGGCTCAGCTGGGCAGCACAGCTGCATTCCCCACTTCCCTGCATTCCCAGCCCGACCACTGTGGTCCGCTCCTGCTCTGGGACCTCAGGGACTGGTTTCAGCTTGCTGGTGCATTCTGGCACAGATCCAGGACCCAGCACAATTGGAGGCTGTTCTACTGCACCAGGAGTGAAGTGTCTATTTCTGTCCTCTCAGTCCTGGTTTCAGCACTGCACAAAAATTCAATAGCTCTGTGCACTGCAGCCTTGTTTCTACAACAGCCTTATTTTCTTACCCATATGGTTGGGTTAGACAGTTCTTTTCAGATAGTGTGCCAACAAATGGTACGTGTGCTGAAGGAATTCCCCCCAGGCTTGGCATGAAGTTTTGGAGTTCTACTGACTTGAACCAGTAATTCCAGCCCTTTTCATCTTACAGCTTAAAATTTCCAAATAACCTAAGTGACCTAAGAACCTCCTTCCCAAAGTCACGTGACTTAAAACTGTCTGCCTTTTGTGAAGAATTTGGGTTTCTAATGCTTGAACAATGTGAGAGAGTTCAGGAAGCTGGAGATTCATTTCCCCAACACTAATGAATGTAGCACTTACAAACAGTATCTACACTTATGCATGTGCATAAAGACATATCAAACTACTCCTGACTCTAAGCATTAAAGTAGAAGTTCCAGAGTAACTTGTAATGTTGTATTTACTTAGCTGTACTACCTGAGGTGAATTTAGCGTTTGATTTTGTTACAGGTGGTGATTTGAAGAAATAACTTATACTGACAGTATAATGTCACTGACAGTGACATTTGACTTTAGGAATATTTATTTAACTTTTCTGAAAATTAAGGTGGAAGTATGGTGTGTTAGAATGTAAACTTGGATTTTATGATTATTGTTTCAGATGGAAAAGGAACAGCAACAGGACACAGAAAATGTCCCTACCCCTTCTCCTTCACTGCCTCCCAAGATTATTCTGAAGAGAGACCAACCATTAGCTTACACAGCAACAGAGGATACATTTAAAGACACCGCCAATCTTGTTAAAGAGGACTCTGTGGTATAACTAGGTAACTGATTTAGGGAAAATTAGACACATCCATTTGCACATATATTTTTTATAAACAGAAGAGTAAGGTTCACATTCAAATGCTTTATAAAAATATACACATCTCTTAGCCACTGGCTGGAGATGTACATTGAAACTATGCCTTGTTTTTTGACAAATGCCAATTTCTATTTTTGTGAACAATTATCATGATGTACTATATGTATATCTTTGCACTGAAGCTGTCTGAAAGTAATGTTATAAATATATTGTACATTTGTAAATTTTTCTAAGATTATGTTGTTCAGTGACGTTGCTAGTAGAAATTTGTATGGAATTGGTCATATATTTAGGGATAAATTAATTATATAAGTGCTTAAAACTAAAAAAAGAACCAAACAAGGCAAATATAGGAACATTACTGATATACAGGGTATTTAGAGTATACCTTTTGTAACAGCACCTTTTAAAACTTCTCCTGGTGCTCTGGGCATCTTTACCACCCTTTTATATACTACTGTATGTAAAAAAGGATGTCTGTGTTTATCTAGTGTCAAACAAAAGATGGAAGAGTCAATACAGCATCATTATGCTGAATAGTTACCTGTGGAAAATGTTGTTCTTACAATATTTTAACTGCCTGAGATAATTTCCTCTCGTTCTATAAGACACATACTTTTCTTCTAGGTTCCAATTAACACCATTCCATTAATAGCCTTCCTAAAAAGATTGGATGTATTTAGATTTTAGTGCCATGACTACTTAATGAGATTTTTCTCTTGCTCATCAATGGAATAGCTCTGTTCTTGGCTGGAGTCTGTGGAAGTAATTTGTGCTATTAAATGAAGTAGCAAGATTTCTGTAATGGCTTATTTCCAAACAGCAAAATATGAAAGATACTGGTTCATTTAAGAAATTATTCAGGTTTTTTTTTAATGTGAAAATTTAATTTTATTGACTATTTATTTCCTAAGGTGGACATGAATAGAAAGGGAAACAATTTCTACTAGTGCAGTCTTTGTAGTTATCTGGTTGTTTCTATAACCTTCCATCAGAACATACTGTTGATCTTAGTAGCTCTTCTATTAATTAGCCAGGATAGTTCTCACAACATGAACCATTTGAGGAAACCTGATTGCAGAAACATATTCTTCAGTACTCCTGGCTAGCTACTCATATAAAAGATTCCTAAAGTTATAATTGAGACCTATTTGATTGTTTTATATCTAAATTCTCAAAATATATACTATTTCTAATTAGAATGCTTGTAATTAATTTGTAACATACTTTGATTAGAAAAGACAACTGGAAAATTATGCTGCTGAATAAATCTAATAAATGTATTATTTTATCACATGCTTATTCCATAATTCGTGTCAAGGCTCTATGTACTTTTTTTGGTTGAGGAGACTTCAGTGCACTCTGAGATGGAAACACCAGTGCTTTAGATCAAGTCCAATAGGAATAGGGCTTCATGCTTCACACAACTGTCTAAAGTTCATGATATAAGATGTCTTGGTACTGACATCTCTGTAAGTGTGAAAACTGCCCCATTACACTCATTCAATAAACTGGCCCTTGAAACAGGAAACTCTTACTATTGAGATACTGACATCAAGGTAGTATGGATGTAAGTAATTAAAATGTTAGTTCAATTAATTTTCATATCTGAGGTCAGAATTTGATGCTTTGATTTTTTTTTTTTTTTTAGCTTTAAGCAAATTATATGGTTTTTTAAAGGCATTTTTTAATATCTGAATGCTTTAATGTAGAAAATTCCTTGGAGTCTGCAGCACAACAGACACATCTGTAAGGATGTCTTTGAGAAACAGGTTGCTGTTCTTAAGGAAAGAGTTCACAAAGTTTTTTAAAGGTAGAAGGCAGGGCTGACATTTCCACAAGACTTGCCTGCAGTTGCATACCACAAGAAAAAGTAGCATAAGTTTTGAGAATAGTATTTGTCAACAGAAAAATCTGGAACCACTCTTAGAGAAAACTGCTACTGTGTCAGCCATGTCAGAGATGTGTTTTTCCCCTGTACTAATCATAACTTTCCAGATGTGGATGAAAGCTATCCCTGAGTTACTGTGTGGGTAAGGAGTATGTAGGTTTAACACACCTGATGGTGAAGGATTCCTAAGCTTCAGCTGGGACTCTTCCTTTCAGTAGCACAGCACAGTGTACCCTTCTGTTTATGTAAAATTTAGGTTTTGGTACTTCGTTCAACAGAAGCTTTAGATTCCACTCCTATCTTCATTTTTCACTTGTATTCCTTGTCCCTCAGAAGGACAGTCCCTGCTTGAATTCTTGAATTCTGAACTCTTTCAAGGAAGGCTGATTTTTAGAGAGCTCAGCAACTCTCTGTAATCTGCAACTACAGGGCTGCTAAGTTATGCCATTGAGCTTTTTCATGTACATTCTCTTTATAGCTGTCAGGTCAGATATTAATCAGGTATTTATCATGAAATGAAGTAAAATAAATGTATTCTTGAAGCCATTTGTCAGAGAATAAAACCTCAGTGAAATGCTTAAAGGTTGCTAACACTTTTTACATTCTGTCCTTTTCTTGCACATGTACAAACCTACACACATGCAGTGATGAAACTTCTTATGTTTGGAGTTCTGACCTGCTCAAGGTATTTTTCTAAGCTTAATTGAATTGCACATTAATGATTAATCACCAGCACAGCACTTTAGCAAATAAAACCTTTACCCCTTCAATTTTAATATCTTTAGGGACACCAGTTAGTGAACCTCTGGCCAACAGCTTAGCAGATAGAAATAGTGTACAAGAGGCACAGGAACCTCAGCTAACGTTCTGCCATTCTGAACACAGTCTTTGCACGCTTGGAAGAATTTGCCATAGCATACACTAATGACCTGTTTCATCTGATAAGTGAAATAATAATACTTTTAATTTGCAGAGCACACTGAGGGTGAAAGAAATGTGAAGGTGTATTATTTTTAGTATTTTCCTCATAAACTATACTAATATTAGGAAGAAGTTTAAAATACGTGTTTGGATATGCTGTTTGCATAGTACAATGGAATTTTGATTTTCCCCATAATTGTATATCTGTAAAAAAGTTTGTGTTTTTGTTCTACACAATTGAATAATCAGGTGATTAGACATGGTCAAATACCGTAATTGTAATTTTTGGAATATATTGCATTAGCTGGGCTTTGTTATTGTTTGACTTCATGTCTTGTGCTTAGAAGCTTTTGAAGATTATCAACTCCTGAATATGACCATGAGCAAACTGCCAGTGAAATAGATGACTAAATCTGACTAAATACATTCTATAAGGTATATGTGTGTGTTCTGAAAGACCATTGTTCTATTTCAAGATCACTAGCAGCCTATGTGTTGATGAAGTCAATGTGAAAAACTGATTCTTCTAGTGATTTTATTTTACTTATTTAAAATTTTTTTATTGTGTGAATAGTATCAACTAGCTTTGTAGCTGAATATTTTATGAATGCAGATTCTATAGAGGTATCATTTCTGAGCATAAAAAATGGCCTTCAAATACACACTGGATTTTACAAGCTGACCTGCGAACTCAGAAATTTCAGGTAAGGAAGGGTGGGGGATGGAGAAAGTGTCATATGAAAGGAATTTAAACAGTCTAGTAACTGGTAAAGAGGACACCTGATTTTGACAGAATTAGTATTTATTTGTGCAGAGCTGATACTGTTTTAATACTAGACATTAATTAGAACTCCAGGAACTGATCTCCCACTGTCTGCTGGAGCTGGAAACATCATACGCAACAGCATGTCAGATAAACAGCTTGGGGCATAGGAGAGAAACAGCCAAAAGAACTTTGCATCCCATCCAGCTCTGTATCGTGTTCTTGGGTACTTTGCTATCAGGGCATGTTCCATGCATTTTATGACACTAGAAATATCATGGTCACACAGTCTTCTGACTGAAGATCTTTGTGCTTTTACATCTGGAAAGAAGAAAATAAACCTGAAGGCATTTATACACAACATTCTCTGTGAGAGTATTCTTTGTATTCAAAGGTCTGGCTACAGCTTCAGGCTTGCTTTAAAGTATTGGCTCAAGTGCTGGGAGCAGCATAGCTACAGTGGAGCAGAGACCAGAAAGGCTGCAAAACATCCAGGAGCCCAGTAAGCACAAACCTCTCTGACCCATATTGTGAGCCAGATGCTCTGTACAGTAAGTGCAGTGTGACAGCACAACTTTTCAGACCAATTAGCAAGTGGGCATAGCAATTCATTCCCACTTGGCATCCTACCTCTAAGTATTGAGGGAGTGTGACCTCACATCTCACCAATCTATGTGTGAACTAATAGCTCAGGCCTCATCTAACATACATGTAGTCCAGAACAGTCCGTGAGGGGGTCTTGATGAGCGTTAACTAAGTCCAGAAAATATTCACAGAATCACACGTAGGTTGAAGTTGAAAGGGATCTCTGGTACCAAGCCCCGCTACTCAAGCTGGGTCACCTAGACCAGGTTGCCCAGGATCATGTCCAGGTGGCTTCTGAATATCTCAAAAGACTGGGGACTCCGTCACCTCCTTGGGCAACCTGTGCCAGTCCTTGGTCATCCTCACTCCAAAAATATGATCTCTAATCAGCAGGAACATCCTGTGTGTCCGTGTGTGCCCACTGCCTCGAGTCCTGTCCTGGACACCACTAAAAAGAGCTTGGCTCTGTTGTCTTTACAGCCTCAATTCAGGTATTTATACATGTTGATAATATCCCCCCTAAGCTTTCATATAATTTTTTTTCTACTTACATTCAACAAAGTATTCTTCTCCGTAGGAGTCCCTGGTCTCAGGAGTCAGTCCGTTCCAAAGTCTGAAGAGGTATTTCTCGGTGATATCTGAATTAACTACTGCTGCCTTAAAGAAACCATGCTCAACAACGCTTACTTTCACTCCAAAATGCTGCATCTCTATCCTGGAAGGATAAAAACTCCAATAACCACCCAATAATGGCATAACTATTAAACATAAGTGGTAAGTCTGTCACACAAATGAATATTCTTATCTTCAAATGTCAGAATTATTTTGAGATGTTCAAATTAGCCTCATAGTAGTGTTCCTGTCCTGCAAAACAACAGCTGGCAATTAAAAGAGATTTAAAAAAAAAAAAAAAAGAGTGTCAAGTAGATCCACAACTCTCTATGTGGTTTATGTTGGACTGGTGAAAAGGATGCAGCAGCCAGCTACATCTTAGTCATGTATTATCATACTAAAACTTTTGACTATTTCAAATACTTTTCCATCGTTTTAGTTTACAGGAACAGATTATTAAAGTGTCTGGGAAAAAGTGAAAGTGAGCAAAAATTTTCAGTTGTATTAGAACTTTATTCTCCATCCTATGGTTAAAGGGCTATGGTTAAATGATTAAATGTTAGTGCAATAAAGGTTAATGTGTTTTCTTGTAGTGTAGTTTCCTCTATGCAATTCTGATTTTCTGTACAACTCCTTTGAGGTGCAGATGGCCTCTCTTTGTCTTGCTGCGCAGCTCAAGAGACCCAGGCAGCTGCATTCTGAAGTGTACAAAGGAGTGGACCACATGTACATTAGCCATTGTTTTCTATTTCCTTGAGATATATACTTTCTTTATCTTTCTCATAATGGTTTGAAACCAACTTTTCTAGTCTTTGTGAAGACTTGACTCCCTGGGCTGGGCGTTAGCCTTCTGGAGGCAGTACAGCACAACTGGCTTCAGTGAAGGGTGCTTAGCTTAATTTTCTGAAGTTACAACTACCTTTGGTAATGTGGTTGCTGTCTGGAATCACCCAGCTCAGATTGTTGTGAAGGTTAGAGCAAAAAGTCTGCAAGTACAGCATCCCTGGGAAACTTTGGGTGCCTGACCAGGATTTATTTTCATGTAAGCAGTGGATTCGCATGCCTGAAAGCTGCATGCTAACAACTTGTCTAGGATATGAAAATTTTTCCCAGTGCAGTTCCCTGATGGGTCTGTTCGTAGTACTGGAGACTAAAATCCTAAACAAGTGACCAACATCCTCTTATTTTCCTTCTCCCCTTTAGGCAAGATTTCCAGAGAGAAATCAAGAGGGACAAACATACAGTCACCCTTCCTCAGCACGTCTGGAATCTGTCATTAGATTCATGCATGTGTTTCTGGCTACTCACCGTAAAGTGTCAGAGAAAGCTTCCATGCCCCATTTGGACAGACTATAGCCACCCCCTACAAAAGCCATGAGGCCTTTGGCATTAATTAGATTGACAACTCTTCCCTCAGCTTTTTTCAGAAGTGGCAGAAGCTTGAGTGTGATTTCAATCAATCCCAGCAGATTAACATCCAGCACTGAATGGAAGTCTTCAATCCTCAGCCAGTCAGTGGGTGCTACAGGAGCTGTTCCTTCAGCATTGCACACCAAGCCAAAAAGCCCTAAGAGGATTGCAAAACCATTTATTTCAGTATATGGCAATATCTTACCCTGGAGTATCATATGTGCATTGGAAAGCAAGCACCCAGTCTGCAAAACCCTCAGTGACATGAATACAGTTGTCTGGGGTTTGCTTGTATTATCTACTCTGTATACCTGGTAAAATTTGCTGAAGGCCTTAGGCAATGACTCTAAAAGAGCATGGATAAAGTATTCAAGGAAAACTACTTTGGCTGGAGATATAGGCCACCATACTGGACTTTATTGTCCAGATCCACTCAAGTATGTCGGCTCCTAATATGCACTTAATGTTGTGAAAATGAAAGAGTCTGCATAAAAGTGGAGAGACTAATTTTTCTGGTTTGGGGTCTAAAGGTCTGAGCCAGATGTGTAGAATTAGTCAATGCTTCTAAAGATACTAGCTTAACACTGTGTATTGATAATACTGCTTTACTACCTTTATAAATTACTTGAGGAACTTAAGATAAATAGTGACGTTTCTAAGAGTTTGCTGAGGACAGCCTGTGCCTGAGGGGAGAGGCTGAAAGTCCAGCACTCAGCCTCCATAAAGAGTTTCACAGACTGAAGTGACAGTGTCGGCAGTGGTTGTCCTGACTGAGAACGTGTGGCTTTCCCCAAGCTGGAAACAGGAGCCTCCTGGAGGAAGTAAGTGCTAATAATTTTGTTTACCTTGCTCTTAATCTCTGCATTCAGCAATGGCCTGGAGTATTCATGACAAGGTCAGCGGTGTTTTACAAGCTTTGAGGAGAAGTCCTACTGGTAGAAGATATATGTTTTGCTGGTTTAGGTAGTTAATTAATTTATAAACCTATTGAATATTTGGTATAACTGTGTTACAGCTGGTAGTTGCACTGCTGTGAATCCCCTTTTGTGGCCTTTAGCAATGTCTAGTCTGAGCTATCAGTGCAGATAAAGAAACATATTGCCTCAGTTGAATATATTTACCACGCAGATCTGTTTAGCACCCTTTGCCAAAGCCACTTATTTTTTAACACATTTCATAGGTATCCAAGGATAAACTCTTCCTCTTTTACACAAGTGCTCAGAGGTGTATGATAGCAGTAGTGAGAGCTACCTATGTAACAACTCCAAGAAAACTGGCTGAAATTGAGTTTAATTGTTACAGTCAGTGCAATTATTGTGTACAATGCAAGCATCAGACTTATTCAGCCATGCAAAAATATGCTCTTCTGCTTACTAGAGGAGGGCTGCAGAATCCGTGCGCTGCCTGTGTTTAATTGAGTGGGGTGATTTTATTGTCAAGAAAGTTCTTTTTGGTGTCAGTTAGCACCCTCCTTCCACAGACATTCTTCAGCTGCACCAAAAAGAGTCTAAAAAACACATCTGGGAATGATCTGGTTTTAACAGACTGAGAGACAAGATTGTTAGGCACCCTGTTGGTGAAAGCAATGGGAAGCATTGCTGGAGGGAATCTCTCTTAACTGAGAAATGACAGAACTGAAAAGTGGGTGTGTTTCATTAGTAAGATGAAAAATGCCTCTGCAGTGAGTGGAGAGGGAATGGAACTTTTAGCTAGACCAGATTTGGTTGTATTGAATAATTTTTCTGGGAAGTTGCCTTGCCACTTACCTTTGCCAGCTGTCTCTTCAGTCACAAACCCCACAGCCCTGGCAATGCTGTTGGAGTCTGCTAAGTTCAGATTCACTGTCTTCAGTGAGGGTGAAGAGCAGGACTGTAGCTCTTGGCCTCCTTTTTCTGTGGCACATGCAGCAATGACACAAAATCCCCTTTTGTCAAGCCATTTAGCCAGGGAGTTTCCAAGTCCAGTGTCACAGCCTGTTATGAAGACATGCTTTCCACTCAGGTTTCTTACTCTGTATCTGTCTCTGATGAGCCAGTAAATTATAAGAGAAAATATGGAAGCCAGAATTGCTATGTGCAGTGAGTCTGAAAATGAAAGCTACAAGCAAATAAGTTAATGATGTAGAAGTGCAATGAAGCAAATGTGCTTAGCCAACCCTTCAACTTCCTGAGACACAACTCCTGTAAGGGGCTTTGTTTCTGGCTGCAGCCCTTATATGTTGGGAAAGAGCAGGGGTAGAAGCTTTGGCACAATGTGATTGGGATCCATGAGTAATATGTGCCTTGGCAAAACCTTCCCTGTCTTTCTTTTCAATAGATTTCCACTGTTTTCACGCTTTGCTGACCAATCTTTCTAGTCAGCCCTGTCCTCTAAGGACATTTCAGACTGAAAGGTATGACTGCATCAATTCTCTAAGTAGTGTCTAGGTTTTTTTGTGGGCATTAGTCATTATTTGTGCTGATACTGGAGAGAGTAATTCGTCTGGGAAAAAGGACAATTCTCTTTGACCACCTGTATGGTGCCACCCAGGCTGCTTTTCTAATCTGTAGCATGGAAGCAGAGTGACCCCAAGAACAACCAGAGAAGTGTAAGGTGTGGTGGTGGATCTGATGACTAATTTGTTGTGTGACTTGTGTTGTGTGATGATGAGTGATCTGCTCTCTGCCCCATAGACAAGGTAGACTTCGGGGCAGTGCTTGAGTCTTCTGTCACTCATTGCCTGTTTAACACTGATACACAGCACAGCAGAATATATTACATAGCAAGTGTGTTTGTATAAAGAAATATAGAAATGCATGGAGATGTTGCCCTGAATAAAAAAAGAGGCACTGAGAAAACACAAGGTTTCCTAACCATTGGGGAGGATATTGTTTGTTTATTATGAAACTTTTTTATAAATGTAGAATGCAATTCTCGCCATCTAAAATCTTCATAATTGATTACTAGTTTTCTTTTTGTATTTTTGGTTTGTACAAGAATTAAACTAAAATAATTAATTAAAGCAAATAAATCTGATAAGCATTTTCTGTTAAAGAGAAACTTTTTTTGCAGGTGCTAAGCAGCCACCTAGGCTCTAGTTACCTACATATGAGTAGAGGTGCAGACATCTCACCTTTAAAATGAGGGATTTTTAAAGGCTGTTTTTTACGTAACATTCTTGCTATCTAAAGACACGAATATTACAGGAGAACCAATGTATTAGGCCTATTTGGTAGACCCTGTCCATTGTTCTTATTCCTTCTGAGTTCATTTATTCTGATTCTAAACTTTGCTGTTACCTCACCAAGTAGGAATGGAAAGAATCTTAGAATCTGATAGTGAATGAATATTGAACTCTCATTAAATAATTAAGTCAGTCGCCTAGGATAACAAAGGATAACCAGTGACAACATTCATTGCTGCTTAATGATCTTATTTTATGTATTTGAATTTCTCAGTAGCCATCAATACGGACTCCTGAGTTATTGACTAATGCTCTCTGATTTTAAAAAGTTAAGCAAATATATACAGGTAAGAGTTTGCTTCTCCTTCCACTGCATCTGCAGGAGGGCTTCCACTGAATTTTGGGGTGCTTGCACTGATTATTTTAGCAGCCCATCTCACTGTTGTTTTGCTGTTGATGTAATTGGCCTTCTAGCTCAGGTACTTCACTTAGACACTTGGCTTTTTTGCTGTGAATGCCCCTATTAAGTTTGACAAGGATTGCAGTGTTCCTGAATGTGTGCACTTGGGAATCATCTTTGTAATGTTTCACTCTGTTGGTGACATTTATTTTCTGAGAGGACTCGGAGTGTGCTCTGACAAAGTGCTGTTGAAACTATGTGAAAGCACTGAGGATAATTCAAGCTTCTGTGCTGTAAAATAAGGTCTGAAAACAGAATGTTGCAGCAGCTGATCATAGATACCCCCAGTCCATTTGCAGTGACGTGCCAGGCAATGACATTTCCTTTGATTGCTGATTTAGAACTTGGAGCAGAGCTAGACACAAAGAGAGGGAGGATTTACTATCAGCAGGCTTTGGTAACACCACACCCATAAATCACAGCAAGCTATTTGGCAAGCTAGTGCTGTGATATGTATAACTTTGGGACTGAATTTGCCTTTGTGCCAATACAAAAAGAAACAAAATAATTAGAGATTTGGATAAAAGATTAATCTAACTGGAAACAGGAGCTGTAAATCACACCTTCCTTCCTTGGCTGCAGGGAGGAAGCAGTGGGCAGTGGGCCGTGAACTTGCACTCCTGGAAAGAAGGTTAAATTTGAAACTGGGCTCTGTGAAGAAGTCCTGGAGTGTCTGGCCAGGATGCCTACTTGCCTTCTGTGAGAAAAACAGCTGCGATTGCTCTGGTTGGTGTTAGCCACTGTGTTTGGGTAGCAATAATTGCCACAGAAGATCTATAAGACAAAGGGCTCTAGAGGAGACAGCTGAGAGGGCAGCACTGTGTGTGGAATTTCCACTGCTCTTTTCTCTATCAGTCCTGGGCAAGTGTTACTAAGCCTGTAATTCCTAACTGCCTAGTTTTCATGGAGTACTAGTGCACCTTCTCTGGTAACACGTTGAAGTTCAGTCCTGAGCATCATGGTGGGTTTTGCTCTGCTGTAGCCTTGTGCCACCACATATTCTGCTAGATAATGTTATTGCTGCTGGAAGGAGTCTGTGGTCTCACTTAAAGTTTTCTTTCGAGAAAATCATCTAGTTCTGTGAATGTACAGTGTTACCCAAAATATTTCTTTTTTGCTAATTGTAAAGCACTAAAAAAGCCACTTGTCTTCCAGGGGCATATTGATTTTGAAAGAGCTTCGTGGAGTGGCCAAGAGTGTGTTTCCAGAGAAAATGTCAGCATGATTTTCTAGAGTATTGATGTATCTTTGTAAATATTAAATTCTGATTAATAATGTAGCCAGTAAATAGCTGAAGGTAAATTCTACTTTCCATCAAAACTTTGATATTTGCCTGGCAAATTGAGAACTCTTGGGATAGAGCTTGGCTTCTTACTTCTAGACAAGTGCCGTTATAAAAGCAATTGATTTTAGAGAAAAGCAGCATGACAGCATTGAGAGCCCTTTAAGATTTTTAGATGACTGCAAAATACAGTATTCCTCTGCTTCTCTGCACTACAGGAAACTGAAGCACATAGACCCTTTATTGAAGGACGGTGTTCCTGGTTTACTCCTACAGCAAGTTTGCTTTGGTAGTCATGCCAAAGAACCTTAGGGTGGGGCAAAGTTTGGGGTCTGGGTGTGTTTTGGATTCCTTCATCCACCACTGTGCAGGCAGTGCAAACTTCCAGAAGTCACTGCTCTGCAGTGGGTGGAGTGGCCTGCCAGACATGCTGAGGAAAAACTGCCAAGGGGAAATTAAGGACTGTTGTTCTTCAGAATCAGCACTCATGTAGCACTCAGTGGAAGGTTTAGATGTTTCAGATGATGATCTGAGAGATCATCCAACAGCTCCCCAGAGCCTAGGGAGCACAAACTTTACTAATCATTCATCCTGACAGAACTAAAAGCCCCCTAGTCTTTAGTTAATGAATTGAAAAAATATGCCAGCACAAACACATCACATCTCCAGTCTTAGGTAAGCTATTCCTGATTGTGCAGGGCTTTGCACTTTCATTTCATGGTAAAGGAGTGCTTTTTTGTGTGCTGGGTAAATATGTCAGTATATTCAGTTTGGCAGTCAACAGATAAATTAAGATCTTCATTAATATGTCACCTTAAAAGAAACATATCTTCAAACTCTCTTATACAGCATTTTGCAGGGAGATGAATGTAGTCTAGTACAGTGGGGGCTGATTTTTCCCCATAATTGTATCTTCTTTGTATGGCTTGCACTTCAGATGTTTACCACAGCATTGGTAAAAGACCCAGGAAAACAAAAGCTTTTACACTCTTAGGTGACTGACCCAGTAATTGGAAATTGAAGTAAGAAAAGATTCCAGATGTTGGAAAGAGCATTCTGAGTTAGCATTTTGTTCAGACATTGTAGGTGCCTAGATAAGCAACAATTGCTAAAATTAATTTAGAAAGGAAAGGACTGCATGTTCTCTTGTCTGTGCACTAGGAAAAAAAATGCTTAATTTGTTCTCTTAGCTGCAATAGGTACTGCTCACTGTAACAATAGACACAAGTTCTACTCACATTCTGGGGAGACATCTGCAAGCTCAGTCTATACCTCCAGGTGCTCACGAGTTGCCTTCACCAGTCATTTCCAGTGTCAGAACATAGAAACAGCCCAAGTCGCTCATAAACTTGTGCACCAAGACCCGCATGGTGATAGTTTCCAAAAACATCTCACTGTAAATTCTGTGTCTGGTGGTACTTTCTAATTGGCATACATCAGCTGATGAGCAGGGCCCCTCTGTCTGCTGTTGATAATGACTTTGTGCTCTGATGTGTCTACCTTAGTACTTGGTATTAATATATTCTATGCCTGCTGCTTCTACCAATGCAGTATAAGCATTACTGGCTATATATAGTGATTTGCAGAGCCTGGGGGACTGTTAAGACTCATTAAGGAGAACTAATCTACTGAGCTGGGAAGGAACTAATCTACTAGCTGATCTGTGCATTGTCTTGAAAGCAGCAGGAGTCTTTCCACTGACTTAACAGAGCTTGGTTCAGACCTCTACCTTTTCTCTTGCGTGTGAGTGAGTTATTGTTGATAGGACTTAATCTTTTAAGAGACATCCTTGTGTGTGAAAACCTTCAGGGATGAAATTATTTTTACTAGTTTAGGGGCAGCTTTTTGATACTAGAAACAAACCAATTACAATGTTTCTCAAATAAAACCTCAAATTCTACAAACTGGGCAAACAAAAGCTCTACAGTTTGCATGGGCACAGATGCTAACATATGATTGCTGGGAGACTTGTTTGCTTGCTCCTTGGCCCAGAGTCTGATGGGCACTTCTGATTCAGCTCTGAGTACTACTGCATAAACATGGCAGCAGAATTTCTTTTCCCCATTCTTCATGTCTCTCCACTCTTAGTGCTGTGCAGTGCCAGATGCTGCAGGAAGCAAGGAAGCTTGGGCAAAGACCATTCTCAACAGGAGAATGAATAAATAAGCTTTATTATAAAAATTGATTTGAAACTAACTGAATGAGAAGGAAATGAAAACTGGGGAAACCAAGCAAGGTGGTAGGATGGAGCTGGAAGTGATCTTGCCCCATATAATTGATTGGACCATGGCAACGGCAGCCTGTCACAGACTAGCTGGTGACACCTGGTCTGACTACCCTGTCAGGAGCTGCAGAATTGTTACATCATCCTCTGCTTGGTGGGCATCTCTTCCCCCTTCAGTTTCTCTCCCTGCTTCTTTTGGCTTGGGCCTGGAAGTTCTTGCTTCTTTTGCCACTGTTCAGTGCCACACCAGCCTCAGCTGTGGTGTTGGTTGTTACTGTACTTTCAGCACTCTCTGGGCAGTCAAGTGTGTCCTGCTTGCTGGAGACTTGGGGATTCAACAGGTGGCTGGTAAAGATTTGCTCTTCAGGACGAGCCTGACAGAAGTTCCTGCCTAACCCTGTCTGGCCTGATTCTAGTGGTAGGCTCTGCGGTGTGGTTGAAATGACCACAGAACATCACTCTACCAGCATGCAAAGCCTGTCACAGGGGGACATCGCTCAATCAGTGTCAGGTCTGGAGTCCTACTATTGTGGGTAGCAATCCTTTGCCATACAAATGTAGGAGAGAAAAACATGAAAGGAATTTTTCTCTCTCTACCACTGATTTTTTTTTTCTCAGCAAACTACATTTGAACTGCAGAAAGTCATTTCAGAAAGCTGAATAGATTAAGTTTAGCATCTCAGAAAATATCAAAATTGGGAATTTTCCCAATAAGTTCCCTTCTCACAAAGGATTCTCCAACTCTCTTAGAACATAACATGTGAGAGAGCTTACTGGAAGAGAAACCCCACAAGCAAAAAGTGAGCTCTAAATATAGTTCTCTGTTAGCTTAGCATGAGACAGTCTTGACTGCCTGATTTTCCATTGATTTCTTAGGTGTATTTTGTAATGAGATCCCTGACTCATAGAAAGGATGTAGAAAAATTGCTTGAAGCTTAACATTGGGGAAGGAAATTTGGTTCTCCAGGGAAAACTGAGAAGTTAATGCTATTCCTGCTGGACAGGTGAAGGTTCTGAAGCGCACGTCTGAAGCTAACTCTAACAAACTAACCAAAGCCGGGTCCTGTGGGTGCAGTCCCCCAGCGTGTTCTGACCTTGTGGAAGTCAAGGATCTTTTCCATGAGAAGTCCTTTCTACTCCTTAAAATCATATGTCTAAATATGTTCTCATCTGCCTCACAGTCTTGTGAACAGGTCAGGTTCTGCTAGTCTTAGCAGAGCACACTGTGGTTTGCTTACTTACAGAAGTCACTGGCTTTTGTTGCTGGCATTTGAGTAAATGAGGCATCTGGTCCCAGGAGAGCAAATGTCAGCAGAATCTAGTCCTCCATACAGAAGTAATACTTTAGGCAGCTGATATTTTTCCTGCATTTCTAATTTAAAGAACGTGTTTACAGCTAGTGTGCCCTATCCCAAATCCTGTTTGTATTTTCCTTCGAATGTTAACATTTCCAGTGCTAGTGTCTCACAGCAGCTGAAGGCATACTAGTGGCCTGACAGGGATTGAATTAAACCAGCCAAACCAAAATGTCTAAAGATAAAGATCAGAGTAGGTGGTATCATTTCATAGTTTGTTTCCCTAATCACTTTTGATTGAGTACTCTTGGTGGAGAAAGGATGAAAAGCTTTAGCTTCTAGAAAGACTTGGTGTGAAACAAGAAAGTCCAAGGATCGGAAGACAATGAGTCCCTGTTCAAGCAGGCTTGGCAACTGTCTATCAGACAGGTTGGGAATGGCTGCTTCCTCACCGGAGCTAACAGAAGCAAAGGGACTTGATCCTTATTTGATTACTAGGTAAATAAACAATAATGACAGAAAAATACATTGAGCACATTGATTACATCAGCAGATAAAAGTTTTTCTGTTTGGGAGTTCACTCAAAAGTTACAAGCCAATATGAATAATTAATCTTTAACTAAGATTTGAATAAATCTTCTTAGACCAAGTATTTTGTGTGGGTAGTCATATTGTGATGCAGGTGCATTTGAAAAGTAATTTTTCACATCACAGTCTTTCCAAAAAGTCAGAATGTTTAAGAGATGTAATGATACTTTGCAAGGCTTTCTCAGTGACAAATGTATTGCTTCTTTTGACACAAACGTCTGGACATTACCTCACCTTTCTGAAAATACTCCTCTCCATAGTTGAGTTTTAGTATCAGGGAGAAACTTAATATCACCTCCTTTTCTTTCATAATCTTTGCTAGATTACTTAATGCTGTTTTGGACAGTCTGGGTTGAATGCAACAAACCTTAACCCCAAAAACTTTCATATCTCTCCTGCAATGGCAGGATTTAATTGCACTAGACATTGTTATTATTATTATTATCACTACTACTATTTAAAGTGTTGGATTTTTTGCTGTACTAACATTTTTATTTCTGTCATTATATGGCACTCCAGAACACAAATACTGTGAGGTTTATTTGTGGTTGGGAACTTTCAGCTTTTTATCCCTAAATGAAAGAGGAGTGAACTATCTTACATGCTTCACAGAGTGAGAATGTGCATGTGACTGCACAGTAGCTGACAGTGTATTTCAGGTCTTAGTTCACCTTGCAGTAGCCCATTAATTATCTGAGTTGTCTGAAAGATTGGCTGGCTGCCTAAATGTAAGTATGTAAAGCCAATTTGCATGTATGAGGGAATCCCTTCTTTAGGGAAAACCTCTGGCTGATTGTACAGTTTCTTCTGGTCTCATCTGGTGGGTCTCAGTCCTGTGTGAGTGTCCTGATATCTAAAATGGCTCTGTATATTTTTAGGCACACAAATTGCTCCCTGTTTGAGTTACAAGAAGCTGCCTTGGTGGTCCCCCAAATTAGTTTGCTGTGTTATCTAGATCTCTCTAGCAATTGTGATAATTAAGTGTTTGGATAAGAAAGCTTAGACAAAAGTTGCTATCACACAATATCTAATGGTATGTATTTTTTCTGGGTGGGCGGCTGCAGGAAATTTCTAGGTGCACTTAATGTTGCAAAGGCATCTCAGTTCCCTTGACTAGAGCTTCCTCTGCAATAAGGCCTCTGTGCACACCAAGATGGATTAGTTGTGAGCACATAAGGGTACCAGCTACACTGAAATAATACTTGAGGAGAGCTTGTGTATCCAACAGGCTTTGCACCATTTCAAAAGTGGCAGAAGAAGTGTAAGTCTAAAGTGTATAATGTTTTCCAAATTTATACCAAGAGCCAGGATTGTAAATCAGCTGCTATTCTGCATGTATACCAGTTTTTAGTTAGTATATGAGCCTTAGGAAAGCAAAAAGGGTGGTTCTTCCTCATAGGGAGTGTTATACCTTAAGCTGCCATTAAATCCTTTGAAAGGAAATTGTAAGTGCTAGGCAACCTACAACACTGGATACATTTACTATCCTTCTCTTTGCTTTTTTTTGTCAGGGCAAGCATCTTTACTGCAACATATTTGAGTCCAGTTAACTTCAGTTGGTTCTCTAAAGTGCTCAATATTCAAGTCTGTAGGAGCGGATGGCCCCATAATCCCAGCATTACTGACAAGTCCCCAGTGACCTGCAGGGAAATTCAAGAAGGAAGTCAAGGGACAAATTTTAACCTAATGTGTTAGATTAATTGAAATGGGAGAGACTTCACAGAAAATCAGTGAGGGACCGAGAAGGCAATGATGTGAAGGAGGTGTTTGAGAATGTTCTGCAGTATTCAGCTTTTTTCTCAGTGTCCAGGTTTTATCACCGTGCTTTCCATCACCCTTTGCATAGTCTTCACCCTGTCACAGCTTTTTGGGAAGGGGTGGTGTTGGCTTTTTGTGGAAGAAAAACACTAGATGGATTTGAGAAACATTTCTAAGCCCTCAGAAATGGGAGGGGAAAATAAAAATGTAAAACCAGTTCTCTTGTGTCAGCTGTTAGAGTTGTGTGAATGAATACTTTAGCTGGTCTGACCTTACTCATAGTTTTTCATGGGAGGAAAAAAATCACTTTTGGCCTGAAACCAATCACAATTTCAAATAAAAGAAATTTGGCAAGTTATAAACAATTTTATGAAAAGATGAAAGGTGAAAAGGAGATTGAAATTTAGCATTAAATATAATTGGTACTATGGCAAATTGTAATGGACCAGATTTAAGACTCAAAGTTAGCAGAATCCAGCCCATAGGATTTTGGGCCTTTGTAAA